GCCTTTATTTGTTATTAAACATTTTATGTACTTTTGAAAAAAAAATTAATGTCTAGAAATGTGTGCAAATGCTTACATTTTCTTTTGCAGAAGGTAAAGAAGTGTCTACGAATCGACGCAAACGTAAACGAGTACTTGACAACAGTCAAGCATCCATGGCCACTAGAACAGACTCGGCACTATCAACCAATCAGATCCCTGTCATGGTATGCAAACACATTACAGGAGCGCTTTTCCATTTACACTTTTTAAAAATACTTTGTCATCATAAAAGGCATTTTAAACCCAGGTTACTTTCAGAATGCAACATTTTGTTGAACAGGATATTCAATGAGGAAGAAATGTGGGGTGGGACTCGATTTTATCAGACAGGAAGTAATTGTATTTTGAAAAGTGGGTGTTATGGACAGAATGGAGCCAGACTAAATAGTAATTTCTGTAGTTTAACATTATACTACTGTATAAAAGTTTGGTGTCAGATAGATTCAAAATTGACAAAAAGTATTAAGTCAGCCTCTGATTGTGCAAGTTCTCCTACTTAGAATAATGAGAGAGGTCTGTAATTTTCATCATAGGTACACTTCAATTATGAGAGACAAAATGAGAAAAAAAATCCTGGAAATCACATTGAAAGAATTTATTTGTAAATTATGGTGAAAAATAAGGATTTGGTCACCTACAAACCAGCAAGATTTCTGGCTCTCACAGACCTGTAACTTCTTTAAGAAGCTCTTCTGTCCTCCACTCGTTACCTGTATTATTGGCACCTGTTTGAATCAGTTATCTGTCCAAAACACACCTGTCCACAGCCTCATACAGTCACACTCCAAACTCAACCATGGCCATGACCAAAGAGCCGTCGAAGGACAACAGGAAGAAAATTGTAGCCCTGCACCAGGCTGGGAAGATTGAATCTACAATAGGCAAGCAGCTTGGTGTGAAAAATCAACTGTGGGAGCAATTGTAAGAAAATGGAAGACATACAAGACCACTGATAATCTCCCTCGATCTGGGGTCAAACTGATCATAAGAATGGTAAGCAAAAACCCCAGAACTACACGGAGCGACCTGATGAATGACCTGCAGAGAGCTGGGACCAAAAAAAACAAACAAAGCCTACCATAAGTAACACACTACACCGAGAGGGACTCTAATCCTGCAGTGCCAGACATGTCCCCCTTGTCCCCCTTGCTTAAGCCAGTACATGTCTAGGCCTGTCTGAAGTTTGCCAGAGAGCATGTGGATGATCCAGAACAGGATTGGGAGAATATCATGTAGTGAGATGAAACCAAAATAGAACTTTTTGTAAAAACTCAACTCGTCGTGTTTGGAGGAAGAAGAATGAAGAGTTGCATCCCAAGAACACCATAGCTACAGTGTGAAGCATGGGGGAGGAAACATCATGCTTTGGGGCTGTTTTTCTGCAAAGTGGACAGGAAAACTGATCCATGTTGAGGGAAGAATGAACAGGGCCATGTATCGTGAGATTTTAAGCCAAAACCTCCTCCCATCAGTGAGAGCCTTGAAGATGAAACGTGGCTGGATCTTCCAGCATGACAATGATCCCAAACACACCGCCCGGGCAACGAAGGAGTGGCTCCGTAAAAAGCATTTCAAGGTCCTGGAGTGGCCTAGCCAGTCTCCAGACCTCAACCCCATAGAAAATTTGTGGAGGGAGTTGAAAGTCCGTGTTGCCTAGCGACAGCCCCGAAACATCACTGCTCTAGAGGAGATCTGTATGGAGGAATGGGCCAAAATACCAGATGCACTGTGTGCAAACCTGGAGAAGACTTACAGGAAACGTTTGACCTCTGTCATTGCCAACAAAGGTTATGTTACAAAGTATTGAGTTGAACTTTTGTTATCAACCAAATACTTATTTTCCACCATAATTTACAAATAAATTCTTTAAAAATCCTACAATGTGATTTCCTGAATGTTTTTTTTTCTCATTTTGTCTCTCATAGCTGAAGTGTACCTATGATGAAAATTACAGACCGCTCTTATTATTCTAAGTAGGAGAACTTGCACAATCAGTGGCTGACTGAATACTTTTTGGCCCCAATACACATGCACAAATGTAAAAATTCAAATAATTCTGAAAAAAATCATGGTTTTCACTAAAAATATTAAGCAGCACAACTTTTTTAAACATTTATAATATTAAGAAATATTTCTTGAGCAGCAAATCCGCATATTAGAATGATTTCTAAAAGAAAAAACCTCACTGCTGATAATTCAGCTTTGCAATCACAGGAATAAATTGCATTTTTAAAATATATAAAACCGTTATTTTAAATTATAATACTATTTCACAATAATACTGTTTTTACTGTATTTTTGATCACATAAATGCAGTTTATATATATATATATATTAAAAGAGAAAAAGTTATTTTAAATTGTAACAATATTTCACAATATTACTGTTGGATCTGAATGGTAGTGTCAACAATTCCCTGTGCATCCTAGATGAACTGAAAAGTCATTTAAGAAATAGTTTAAAAAAAAATAATTAAAGGCTGTTAAAACAAACACATGAATTTTTCTTAAAGGGAAAAAAATGTTCACCCAAAAATTCTGTCATCATTCACTCACCCTTAGTTGTTGTAAACCTAAATTTATTTTTTAGGTCCTTTTTCTTTTCTTTTTTTCCAGCAATGGCCCATGTACATGGTGGACTATAGCGGAGTGAATGTTCAAGTTCCTGGCAAAGTCAAATACTAAATAACTTTCTGATGCCGTACGGAAGACTTTCACCATTACGGGATCTTTTTAAATGTTTCTGAATGCTAAATTCAGCTTTCCCCAGAGCTGTGGCAGATCGGGCGGCTCACGCATGGAGACACCTGTGTGTTAGAGAGTGTGTACTGCTGGATGCAATGAAGTGCTAATGATGGAAAAACACAGCAGTAAATCAATCGGCCAGTGCTCTATTACTTAAGAGGAATAGTACTCATCCTCCTGCCAGTCCAAACCTCAATGCTTTTTAACTGAAAAAAGAACAACATGCAGGTTTGGAATGACATGAGGGTGACTATTCCTCTCTAAGAGGTTGTTTGTAAAAGGAGTAGCCGTTATTTGAGTATCAGATGAACTATATTGCTTTGCCACCTGGATTTGTGACAGCAGATCCTGGACACAATCATGATTAAATAACCATCTCGTAAAGAGCAGTAAGAATGAGATTTGGGATTTTTATTTTTTATTTTTTTCCCAAATAATAATCACTGTTGGGATACACAGCCTTGTTTGGTGCCGAGAGCTCGTACAATATGTACTTACTGTATGACGCGTGTAGTTGTCTGGATCTCATGCCTTGCAAATGTTTGTATTATTATTTATTTATTTATTTAAATAAAAACTTGTATATGCAGGGAATGTAAACTACCACATTCAGTATAGAGCATAAAGTACTGAATAACACGACTAATGATGCTAAAAACAGCTAGCTACTGTATGTATTCAGAGAGAAACTTCTGCTTCAGGTTTCAGTACGTCAAGTTGGAGAACCCTAACATGATAGCACTAACTTATATTCAATTGAGAGACTTTTTTTTGTATCATTTTAGCTTTGTAAGTTACTCTAGTTCGTTAAAGTAAGGCAAAGTGAGATATTTCACAGAGAAAACATCATGAATGTATTGTTTGTAAAGGAAAGAATGCTATAATGTTATCCTGTAATGACTGTCTCTGGAATCGCCAGTATTTATATGCTGTACCCTAATGCCATTTAGGCCTTTCAAATAAAATGTGTTGCCTTGCATTTGTTTATGCTTGTTTGTTTGTTTTACTTTTTTATCACGATAATGTAATGCAGTGAACACCTTTCTACGTGTGTGTATAAGGATGCCTGCCCTTAGTGCATAGTAGTTAAAGAATTCTGAAATATGATAACTTTAAGATGGAAAATAGACGAATGATGAAGAAAGAATAACGTTACGAACACATTAGCACTACCTGCTGGGCAAAAGACAACATCGCATTTTCAACGATGCAGAAATTTTTACTTTTAATTACAATTTTACCACTTTTACGCCTGGTTTCGCATACTAGACTTAAGCCAGGATTAGGTCTAAGTTAATAAGACATTTAAGTAGCTTATAAACGCGCCTAAGGGGGAAACACATTACTAGTGTGCATCTTGAGACAAAACAATGGCACTGACAGGCATATTTTAAGGTTTGTCAGTGCAAGTTGCTTTCAGTTAAAACGGCTTTTGTCTGGGACTAAACTTAATCATTGCCCGTGAAACCAGTGGAATATCTTAAATTGAATCCCACATTTTCAAACATCCTGTTCATGTCTGCAGTGTTTCATAAGGAGATGAAAGTTGAATCACTGCTGGTACCTTTGCTAGAGTAGTTTTTACTATTAACTTGAAATTCAAGCAATTATTTAAATTTAATAAGCAGAATGATATGGTGTTAAGTGGATAATTCACCCCAAAATCGTCATTTGTTATTGATGCGAATAATTTTCCCTGTTCAGCGTGACATAATTTTAATAGTGGAAGCATTATTATAAACAACATTACTTACTGAACGCCCTAACGTACGAAATCGATTCATTTGAGTTGAATCTTTTCAGTTGATTCAACTCACAAAAACGGATTCACAACTCAGACTCGTCTAGTTCTCCAGACAGTTCAGCTCCCTGATCCGAATTCATCCTGACGAATATATGTTGACTGCAAATTGGAAAGAAAAAAATACCAGTGAATGATGGCATCATTTTCAGTTTCGGACAAACTAGTATATTGCAAATTGCGTGTATTTGTACTTGTTTATAATAAATATACAGAGGGACTTTTATTTTGCCGATTGTCACATTGGCTTATCATTACTACTTTCAAAATAAAAGTCGGTAATGCGGACACTAACTAACAGAGACAAAATATGATAACGTCCAGAGCAAGTAAACTTCATGTAGCACTGGGAAATGCTAATAATTTAAAACAAATAGCCACTTTAATTTATTTTAAACCTGTAAAATGAAAGGGGAAATGTAAAAACAAAAACCATAGGGGAGTGTTTTGTGTCAGGCTTCACAGAGTGTGTATCTATGGGAATCCACCACCAGCGACACAAACACACAGCAGGCGAGCAAGTAACTATACAACCCTTGCGTACTTTAAAAAAACATGTCCATCAGTGTGCTTCTATAAGCCACCTGACAACTTCAGTCTGCTGTCAACAAAATAGCAGCTGTTATATTATCTGATAGTGGTTTATGAGGCTGGTAGCCGTACAGTAACGCACTGAATGGCGAAGAAAATAGCGACGCGGCTAACGTTAGTCTGAAGCTGCGACTAGCAACCGAACAAGATGATGCGACGTCAGTGGTTTTTACTCAAATCTGCGGTTGAATTAACGTGTTCTACTGGATAAAACACTGTAGTGGCGACATAGGTTAATATCTTTCAGAATACGACTAGTTAGCGGGCTATCTGGCTGTAAATCAAGTGCAACTGAAACTGAAAGGGTGTTGTTGTTGTTGTTAGCCGGGCCAACTCGTCACATTGCTTTATACTCCAGCTTATTTCGTCGGTTGGGATCTTTTCTATCTGACAAAATGGCAACAGGCTCCAGTTTTCATTCCGGAGGGAGTGGGTCTAGAAACGGACCATCTTTCGCATCGCCATCCTCCTCCTCCTCCTCATCCTCTGGGATGCCAGGACAGGCTCAGCCGATGGCGGTGGTTTGGGAATGGCAGGATGATCTGGGCTTCTGGAGGCCTTACACTGGACAGGTGAGCAGCTTTATCGAGCAGTGTCTCCAACATCAGAGAGGAGCATCGACCCCCAGCAGCAGCAGCAACAACATCAGCATCTGTCTGGCTCAGGCGGACCCCAGCCTGTCTGCCTACATCATCGACATCCCCAACCTCAAACAGTTCAGACAGGACACCGGTGAGTGGGACCTCACACAGCCCGTTCACTAAACTAGGCTACTTATGGAGACTCATAAAAAAATTAATCATGCTCATGGTACAGTAACCTAGCTACTGAATATGAATCGTTACCATATCAGTGTAGCGTCTAGAACTCCAGTCATATCAAACTCCAGTACATAATCATAATCAAAAACATGGTACTTTTTTGTTAACACTTAACTCTGTTATAGAATATCTCATTAAATAACATGATAATAACTTGTACCAGAAGATTGGTTCAGTTTGTGAAAACGTCAAACGTTAAAAAACGACACACCTAACGTTAAATAAACCATAGACATCATATAGGAAATAAACGTCCTGACTACTTTCAAAACAAGTTGTGATATTTGTAAAAACAGTACAATTGTGAACTATTATTACAAAATAACTTTGTTTGAATATATTTTAAAAACGTAATTTATTTAATTAAAATGAATTTATTTCATCGTAAAGCTGAAATTTCAGCAGCTGTTACACACATTTCTTGTTATAATCGATGTTGAAAACCATTGTGCTGCTTAATATTTTTTGTGGAAACTGTGATACATTTTATTACAGGATTATTTGTTGAATAGAAAGTTCAAAAGAACAGCGCTTATTTGAAGTAGAAAACTTTTGTAATATTATTAATGTCTTTACTGTAAGTATTGATCCATTTGATGTGTTCTTGCTGTATAAAAGTATTATTTTTATAAAAAATATGTGTATGATAGTATGTGATGAGTATATATTTTGCTATTTTTTGTCTACTCTCGTAAGTATTTATGGTATAGGCCTAAGTTATTTTTGGTTTACTTTTACACTTGACACTTTTAGGGTCATATATCAAACGTTTTTTTTTTTTTTTTTTTTGTTTCTCCAGAAACCTTTTCTTTTCAAAAGATCTAATTTGCATTATTATCTGGTAAGTTTTTAAGGACTTCAATCTAATTAACATTTTAGACTGGATTTAATATATCTTGGATGTCTTTATTAATGACCCATTAACTATGTTAAGTGATGGTTTTACCATCTAGTGCCGCCACAGTACTTCACTTTAACGGCGTGTTAAGAATGTATGCTTATTGCTCATTTGGATTAAGTAAATGTGTTACCAGTGCTTCCATAATCTACAGAGCGAAATAAGCTTAATGTGAACTGTGAATGCTGGCTGAAACTAATTCAGTTGCTCCGAATGTATGATATGTATGCTTCATTCTTGACAACAGGTCATTAAGCCTGCTGTTTAACACTGCAGTAGGACACATGGGCGTTTGGTCTGTTAGCTGGAGATTAGGCTTGTTTTGGAGGGATGTTTGAATGACTTTCGACACCTGTGGTCTCAATGGAAAAGAACAGGAAAGAGGTGCCAAAATAATCTCAGGAAATAAGCGTACAGATTTCGACAGGATGCACAGCGTATTTGCTGGATGAAATAACAGCTCTTTCTTGCATATGTTTTTAGAAGAGAAGCACTTTTTATGATTGAGAAATGTTCTCTGGAATGATAATTACTGTAATTTTTGTTTTTTTGTTGAACCCTCTGTAGGAAAGATGCGCACCGTTCGGCGATCCCTGTTCCCGCAGTCTTCTGCCCTGGGCAGTGGCGTTCTCTGGGAGTGGGCCAATGATGAGGGAGGGTGGACGGCGTACGAGATCCGAACCTCCATTTTGCTGGAGCACAGCTACCAGGCAGGACAGGCCACAGCTGACTTGAGCCCACAGGGCTACAACTACATTGTGGACCTCACCGCTCTAGAGCAAGTCAACAAGACTTCTAGCTTCAGGCGGCGCGTCAGGCGGCAAGGCAGCATGCCGTATCCTCTCACGTCTGGGTCGGTTATTCACTCGGGCCCGGCCTGTACCTGTCACCAGTGCGTGAGCAATAGCAGCACCGCCGGACCCATGCTGAGCCGGTCACGGCATTCCTTCTCCGCGGGGCAAGCCAGCAGACCAAGCCTTCAGACGCAACTTGGAAGACTTCCTGGAACCAGCTCGTCTTCAGCCTACTCGCCCTACCCCAGAAGACCTCTCTCGATGGGGAACCTGTTATGGAACAGCCCATGGAGCACCCCCACCTCAGTGGCTCATCCCACAGGACAGCCGCAGGCTTTTGGTCATCACGCAAATGGCTTAAGGTAAGACTACTGGGCCTAGTTCAAAAGTGGAAAATGCAGGTTATCATATTTTTAAAATACTTCTGTAGTTGCCATCTGATACTTTCAATCTATCATGGTACCACCATAGTTTCCCATAAGGGAAAGAGAGATGTATTTTAGCCATATTTTCAAGGACTTTGCACACAAGCATGGAAGTTCTCCTACAGAGAGCAGTTTAAAAATACTTAATGGCTTTTGGTCATAAGGAAACAAGATGTTTGACCCACATATTTCAAATGACACCGAAGGTCAAAAAAGGTTGTATTTCATCATCTACTGTGGTCTTCTCCTTCCTGCCATTGTGTCCGTTCTCATATATTTTTTGTAGTCGTAAGCTCAGTCATTCTGTGAATCCATTCGTGGCATAATTTTGAAAAATAACCGAGCCAAAATTATTTTCTGCAGTACTTACAAAAAAAAAGCATTTTATTTTATAGTTCTTCCTCTTTATGACATAGTATGTAATTATTGTGTAATAACCAGGCACTAACCAAGAACCAAACTTAACCTTTACCCATTTTAAAGGGATGATTTGGCCTAAAATGACAATTTTGCCATCAATTCTGACCCTCGTGTCATTCCAAACCTGTGATTTTCATAAGAAGATGCTTTGAGAAATGTCTGATTGTTTATATAGTGAAAGCTATACCAACATTCTTTAAAATATCTTCTTTCGTGTTCTGGAGAAGAAGAGTTAAATTTCACGTGTAAAAAAGGCCTTTGTCAATAGTGGATTGAAGCACAGTTCACACAGAAGTCTGAGTTTGTGTGACCAACTTGAAAATGAGTAAAAATATTTGGCCCTCAAGTGTCACGCATTGAGCATGACAGTCACTCTTTTCGGTCTTTTGTCACACACTCTCGCCACACATTGTATATTCACGCGGAAAAATGATTTATAATATATTTAATATGCTGCAGCGCCCAAAATGTCTTCTTTGGACTGGCAGGTATCAAGCGCGTTCTATGTTCGTTGTTAGTCGAGCTACACAAAAGCCAATCAGAAAATAGCACTATTGTATCTGGATACAATTTAACGCAACAACCAATGAAAAAAAAAGAGAAAATTGTCATGAAACAACCCCATTCCCATGAGCTGTCCAACATTTAAGGCTGCCACTCTGCAGAAGCAAATTCCATCCTATCTTCAATATGTTGGAGTAGTTTTAGTCGGACATGACAGCTGCTGTAAATGACATGAAATATTCTCTCAGTCCTCCTGCATCTGATAAGGCCTCATTAGATAATTTACAGGACGATTTTAGGCAATCGATTGCTTCAATCAGCAATCTGTCACTTTTTCTTTTATTGTCTATGGTCTTACCGCGTCAATTCACGCACTCCATAATCTGTCACTCTCTTTCGCTGCTGACCGCGAACTCGCGCAAAGCACTGCCGTTTTGACTTTGCGTTAGGTACAACAAAAAATAGCCTACTCAAACCATTTTCAGGAGAGGGGTGTTTCATTGTGACACAGGCTACATTTTACTCAAGCAACATTAAATAAAATTTATTTTTTCTCACTTTCAACAATAAATGGTGCTATTTTGGTTAAAAGTAAAATATGGTAACCTTTGCTTGCGGAAATGCGGTCAGCAGCCAATTGACTTTATGCATAGCTGCACTACTTCCTCAACATAAAGGGTTAGTTCACCCAAAAATGAAAATTAAGTCATTAATTACTCACCCCCATGCTGTACCAACCCCGTAAGACCTTCGTTCATCTTCGGAACACAAATGAAGATATTTTTGATTAAATTTGAGAGCTGTCTCACTACCACATTGGCTGCCTAAGGGACTGCCTCTTGACGGCCCAGAAAGTCAATGAAGAAAATGTTTAAATATTCCAGGTGACTACCGTGACTCAACTATAAGTTTATCAAGCGACGAGAATACTTTTTGTGCGAAAAAACAAACTAAAATAACGAGTTTATTCGACTATTTCTTTTCTTCCTTGTTGGCCTGAAACTATATTTCCACGACGCACGCGCGAGAATTGCGATCTCTGCTTCAACTACTTCAGTTCAGTTTTCGCACATGCGTCGTGGAAATCTAAGGAAGTCTCGTTTCAGGCCAACAAGGAAGAAAAGGAATAGTCGAATAAACTCGTTATTTTTGTTTGTTTTTTCGCACAAAAAGTATTCTCGTCGCTTGATAAACTTATAGTTGAGTCACGGTAGTCACCTGGAATATTTAAACATTTTCTTCATTGACTTTCTGGGCCGTCAAGAGGCAGTCCCTTAGGCAGCCAATGTGGTAGTGAGACAGCTCTCAAATTTAATCAAAAATATCTTCATTTGTGTTCCGAAGATGAACGAAGGTCTTACGGGGTTGGTACAGCATGGGGGTGAGTAATTAATGACTTAATTTTCATTTTGGGGTGAACTAACCCTTTAAGCCAGCTCCTTGTTTCCTGTATGCCACTATTGGACAAACTTGATTAATTCAGGTGTGTCTGATTATTGTTGCCGTGACTACTGAGGTCAGTCACACCTGAATTAATCAAGTTTGGCCAATAATGGCATACAAGAAACAAGGAGCTGGCTTAAGTTGAGGAAGTAGTGCAGCTGTGCATAAAGTCAATTGATGTGCGGTTTGGGATGTGACGTCTGTTTTGAGTTTTTTAAAATATGCAAATTGTCGTGGAGACTGTTGTGGAAGGTAATTATGCTAAACCGCTTTGGTGAGTGGTTTAGTATAATTTCAGTGCCGTACCATCGCAAAGCCATGCATTTTTTGATGCGCATCGAGGGATTTATTCGGTAAAGGTGTTTCCATCATAGTTCATGCGCATGTTTTCTTATCAGATACAAAGTTTATCCAACTCAATTGAGCGCATAAACCTATGTGCATTTTTGGAATTTATGCACTTTTGGCATAAGCATAACTTATGATAGCATGATAATTTCCTCTCTCAGTCTAAGGACTAATTTTGCTTCAAGAGGAATAAGGATCATCCTCCCTTTTGTCCCCCTACTATAATTGTCTTTTCCTCTGTGTAATGGTGTCATATCCTCTCGTCTGTCTGGATCTACAGGAGTAGAGGTCTGCTTTAGGACACATGGAGGAGAGCATGTCTGTGCTGACTGAAAGGGCAAGACCCAGATTTGAGTCATTGTTCTCTTCTGGTAAACTAGGTTGAAAGGGGAACCAGGAAATTTTAGACATTTTTTTTCCTCACTCCTTATATACTCCTCATATGGACAAAGTAACGTTACATCTCCTGTAGATATGATGATTTGAATAAACTCTTAAACTTAAGTTTACATTTCGGTGCTTAATTTTTCATGCACAGTTTATGGTGGTTAGTTTTACACCGAGTGAAGAGCTGAATAATTCCTGGCATATGGCCTCATCACACCCGACTGTGTCATGCGCTTCTCAGATGACTGTGGGAGTGTACTGTGAGCTGTAATTGTTGCGAATTGTAACGCCACTACTGAGATAAAGCTGTAAATGCAGTTATGTAAGTAGCAGAAACATCTGTGTCATATGGATAAAATAGGAGGGATTTACTCTATATCCACGACCCAGTTTGCAGAACACTTGTCATTGTGGGAAATTGGTTAAGCAAAACTGTTGCTGAAAACATTGTACGATCAAATCAACCAGTGAAACATATTTGCAAAAATGGAAATGCATTTTGATTGGATTAATTTTTGTGCATTCATTATTCTTTTGTCATCTTCTTATTATTATATGCATCTATTCTACACTGCCCCAAAAGTTTGGGATCTGTAATTGTCTCGTTTTGAAAGTCTCTTACGTCTCAATTTAGGTCTCAACATATGTTTTAATATATTTTAAAGCGGTCATGAACTGCATTTTTTTTTATTACACATTTGGAATTGTTTTGAAACTGTGCGATGTTCGCTATAGCCTACACGTCCCAAATCAGACATCAAATAAATACCAAGGATACTCCAGTCTGCAACAGCATGGTAATTACTCATTTTTATATATCTTATACATTTGTGAGGTGGTGTTGTATTTTATTATAATATTTTAGGAAGTATTTTTTTAATGACATTAATTTAGTGTTGAAACAAAGACGCTACAGCAAGGTCTTTATCTCATTACATAGATGAAACATGTATGTGTATTTCATATGCTTTATAAGTCTTGGTTGTGGCAAATAAAGTCACTTGCCTTGGTACTTAGTTAAAGTCCCTGTAAAGGCAATTCTACAAAAAAGTTCTAAACACATTATAAATGTTACATATGTATTGCTAAAACATATTACAAAGTCTGTGAACTGTGAAGTACTGAAATGTGGAGTTAGACCGTTAAACAGTTTTTCACCATTGCAATTTTACGGATTAATTAGGCGGGGCTAAAACAGGGTTCGATGACGCACTGGAGCCCATGAGCTGCTGGACACCCCCCTATTTGATGACGCACAGAGTCTGATCTCGCATTCACCACTCAATCGCGAGTGTCTGTCAGTACTATTAGTTACTACAGCTGAGCCTACAGTTTTCTAGCTAGCTATGCCTTCGACACGGACATGCATGGGCTACTACCTGGATGCGATCATGTACAAAACAGATCGGTATCTTCATTTAAATTCCCCTAAAAACGATCACATCAAGAAGAGGTTTTTTAGAGAGCTTATACCTTGATGAAGAGCCTCTGTACCTCTGTAGTGATCGTTTTACTCTGGATCGTTTTATAAACTTTCCTCAGAGACAACTGGGATTCACTGATAATCCGCTGTTACTGGTGAACGGGGCCGAAACGACTATCTGCCACCTCAGTGTTCATCCTCCCGTCTCCAAAAGCTAATCAGCTAATATCACCGTCAACAGCTTTCCCGCTAGTGGGCGTGGTTTCAGCGCAGCCAGCGGACACGCCCCCAGCGTTTGAGAGCAGAGAATCTGCTCATTTTTTCATGATTTTGAAAGCTTATTTTATGTACTTTTCGGATTTTTTTTTATCATTCAAATTTGGCTGGGTGGCTAATAACACATTTTTCTGTGGTATGACAGACTCAGAACACATACTTAAATTTGACTTTACAGGGACTTTAGTTAAAGGAGTAGTTCACTTTAAAAAAAAAATTGCTGATAATTTACTCACCCCTATGTCATCCAAGATGTCCATGTCTTTCTTTCTTCAGTCGAAAAGAAATGAAGGTTTTTGATGAAAACATTCCAGGATTTTTCTCCATATAATGGACTTTACTGGTAACCAAACGGTTCAAGGTCCAAAAGAAAGTTTCAGTGCAAACTGCAAACTGTTCAAAGGGCTTTAAACGATTCCAGATGATGAATAAGTGTCTTATCAAGCGAAACGATCGCTCATTTAAAAAAAACAAAAACAAAGTGTAAGTTTTATAAGCACAAATGGTCGCCTTGCTCTGTTCTGTGATGCGCGTTAATGACTCTCCTGCTCGAACTCGTTCCTCAAAATGAATAAATTTTTTTCCGTGTCATTTGGTTCATTCAATGAACAAAATGAACGAATTGACTCAGGAAAAGATTCGTTCATTTTGATGAACGAGTTCGAACAGGAGAGTCACGAACGCGCGTCACAGAACAGTTATAAAATTTTTTAATGAGCAATCGTTTCGCTTCATAAGACCCTTATTCATTGTCTGGAATCGTTTAAAGCCCTTTGAACAGTTTGCAGTTTGTACTGAAACTGTCTTTTGGACCTTGAACTGTTTGGTTCCCATTGAAGTCCATTATATGGAGAAAAATCCTGGGATGTTTTCATCCAAAAACCTTAATTTCTTTTTGACTGAAGAAAGAATGACATGGACATCTTGGATGACAAGGGGGTGAGTAAATTATCAGCAAAAGTTTTTTTTAAAAAGTGAACTACTCCTTTAAAAATAAAGTTCATCCATGCTTCGGATCACAATGAAGGCAATGCAAAGAATGTGGAAATGTTTTTCCTCAACTTGGCTCTTCATAATATTTTGTAATCAGTCAGAGGCATCTTTATCTCTTTGTTACTGTCAGAGTAATCCTGTGTTTGCGTCTGTCTTTCGGTGCTTGGTTTCTGTTTTTGGACTGTTTTTGGTTTTCATATTTCAAAAGATCAAGGAATTTGGCTTCTCAATTCATAACCCCTTTAAAATGTAATATTTATGTGATAGCAAAGTGAAATTTTCACTCAGCATCATTACTGCAGTCATCTGTGTCACATGATCCTTCAGATACCATTCTAATATGCTGATGCTCAAGAATCATTGTTATCTGCAATGTAGAAAACAGTTCTGCTGCTTAATATTTGTGTGTAAACTTTCTATTAATCAGACAATTTTGAAAAAAGGAACAGTGTCTTTGCCGTCACTTTTGATCAATTAAATAATTTTTTGCTGATTAAAAGTATTCATTTCAAATACTTCTTACTTCATCTTACTGACTCCCCAAACTCGGGAGTGTTTATGAAAAGTCAGATCAGATGGCATAGCATGAATTACACCATGACAGCTTGAGAAAGCCAGGGGATTTCCTTGGAAAGTATCTTGCTTTCGTTTTATCTTAACTAGGTCATCTACAACAATCTCGACCACTCAAATTTGCTTTCTCTTTTGTATAAGAAAAAGAACATGACACCTGTAATGGGAGTTAAGGCCATTGTCAAACGCTCTTGTTCTCATGCATTAAAGTGTGTATTTCTGTCTCCACAGCATCCCAACCATCCCTCTACACATGAACGGATCCAGTATTGTAAACTCGGCGCTGGCAGGTACGGTCCTCGCACGCCACACAGGAGGAAATCCTTCCAGTGATGCACTGGGGTCTCCTCCTCATTGCAGAAAGGTGTTTGATTTGTTTCTTGGGAGTGTCAGTTTGAACCACTCAATTTTTTCCCAGAGCAGTGAGTAAGTGAAGTTAGCTTTAGCATCCTTCAGTGAATGTCACAAGTAGATTCATGCCACAGACTTGCGTTTCCACCCTGTTTTTGTCTTTTGTCGGCTGCTTGTCACAAATCAGCTTATGACATTAGCGGCTTCACTGAGTCACCAGCTTGTGGGTTTTGTGTTGGTGTGTCTTAAAAGCGCTCGCCTTTCAACAAGTTTCAGGCTAATGGTGCGTGTCTGGGGATGTTGAATATCTGTTGTTCTTGTTGCTGACAGCTGCAGCACCAAGATGAATGAGGCATTTGGGGAACATATAGACATATCTGGAGCCAAGTGACATCTCTAACATAATTTTCACTAGAGTGAAGGTGAGGAGATTTTTGGGTGGGTTTTGAATGAAGTGATCAATGCAAAACAACTATATGCTAAAAACAAATACTGAATCTGAATACACCGTAACCATGTTTATATATAAATTCATTCAATTCAATTCACGTTTATTTAAATACACATCATTTCAAAGCAGCTTTACAGAAAGTGCATGAGTCCATATTACAATTTACAGTGTTATGTCGTCAGAGGTAACTGTCAAAGTTAAAGGGATAGTTCACTTTGAAATAAATTTTTGGTATGGTAGGTGTCTTTGTTTCCGCAGTATTTTCAATTTTGATATTTTTAGGTCAAACCGTTCTTGTCTGTCAGTCATCTACAGTGGTGGAGGAAGTACTGAATCTCAGTACTTAAGTAAAAGTACAAATAAACAGATCATTATTTACTTAAGTAAAAGTACAAGTAACACAATGACAACCATACTTAAGTAAAAAGTACCTGATTTTAAATGTACTTTTAAGTATTAAAAGTAAAAGTACTTGCATAACAATTTATTCCATTATTCCATGTCCATTTTGTCTAATGATTAATAAAACATTTAATTCTAACTCGTTCCACCTAATACTCCTATAATGATGTTCAAGAATTATGGAAAAAAAAAATTGTTGTCACCATTTCTGAAACAAGCTTGCAATTAGGCAATATGCACATCATGCTTATCCTTACTATATATTAATAACTATGTTTGGCTGGCAGTAATCGCGATTAATTTATGGTGTAATTCTGAACCTCTTGGCTTGCCATAATCCTAACCAAACGTATAATACACACGGTGCGTTTCCTATGCACATAAAAACAAATTTCCACGTATAAACTGCACGATAAACACACTGCGTGCGAGACGCATTTAGTGTGACCGGGTTGATATATCTATGGCAACCAAACGTCACTGGTGAGACAAACGTGCAACGAACGGACAGGGGAAAAACTGATCAGAAAATGTAATGAAAATGTAACAGAAGTTGTAGAAATGTAGTGGAGTAGAAAGTATAATAATTGCTGCAAAATGTAACGAAGTAAAAGTAAAAAGTATGCACTATTTATTCAGAGAAGTCCAAAAAAATCCTCTTGTAATCAGTTCCATTATAATCAAGGAACTGATTAATAAGTTGTCTACATTGCACAATGAATATCATCTTTATAATTGTCTACACTTAATAAGAGGTTTCGCGGGAGTGCAGAACTCGGCACTGAACAAAAAATCCAGATTTTTGACTAGTGAGTGGATTCTGACTGAATAAACTCCTCTGATTGGCCACTTTGTTCACCGCTGCAAAAACACGTTGTAATTAGAAGCATTGGACGGTTTCTAGAACGCCAACACAAATACGCACTGGTGCATTTACCAAATCTGTTTTGTCAAAATTATATGATTACAGGATCAACTGAGGGTGCTCTTGCTTTCATTTGAGGTTGCTTAGCATATGGCTGAATATTTCCACTATAGTTGACTGAGTGGAGGTAGTCCGATCTGTTTTGAGTGGAGGCGGGGGCTAATTTGCATATTCAAATGAAGTAAGGTGCAGTGTTATATTTAAGCTATTTTAAGGCATGAAGAAATTGTGATCATCAAAGATGAGTTTTACGCGATAACATTATTGACTTCTAGGGTGCCTGGTTTCACAGACGAGGCTTAAAGGGTTAGTTCACTCAAAAATTAAAATTCTGTCAGTATTTACTCACCCTCATGTTGTCCCAACCCCGTAAGACCTTCGTTCATCTTCGGAACACAAATTAAGATATTTAAGATATTAAGATCGCTCCTGCATACTAGTCCATAGGCTTCTTGAGGGAATGACTATTGCTGGCATCGAAAAGTCATCAAAGACATCGGATTCGTTAAAATAGTCCAAGTGACTACAGTGGCTCAATTTTAACTTTATCAAACGACGAGAATACTTTTTGTGCGCAAAAAACAAACAAAAATAACGACTTTATTTCAACTATTCACTTCCTTCTCCATGGTCCTGTAGTCAGTTAACGTAGTGTGATTGCGTAGAGCTATGTCACACGTAGGCTCACTATTGGCTGACGCTGGTCATGTGTGTGATGCGTGTGATGTACAATAACAGAAGCTTATGCTATTAAAGGATTAGTTCACTTTTGAAAAAACTTTTGCTGATAATTTACTCACCCCCATGTCATCCAAGATGTCCATGTCTTTCTTTCCTCAGTCGAAAAGAAATTTAGGTTTTTGATGAAAACATTCCAGGATTTTTCTCCATATAATGGACTTCAATGGGAACCGGATGGTTCAGGTCCAAAAGATAGTGTTAATAACAGTTTCAGATGCAGCTTCAAATGTCTTTAAACGATATCAGACGATGAATAAGGGTCTTATCATGCGAAACGATCGGTTATTTCAAAACTTATTCCAAAAATGTAACTTTTATAAGGACAAATGCTAGCCTTGCTATTTTCTGTGAGGCGCGTTTGCAACGTCACGTATTACGTAATTACGTTCAAAAGGTCACGGGCGACGTAGCCGAAAGTACAGTGTTTACAAGTTGAACGCATAGGTTGAACGTGCAAACTAACTCAAACACCGTTTACAAAAAAAGGAATTAAAAGGAAAAACAACGATGTCGGACGATTTTGATTCTGTACTTCCGGCTACGTCGCCCGTGACCTTTTGAACGTAATTACGTATTACATGACGTTACAAACGCGCCTCAGAGAATATAGCAAGGCTAGCATTTGTCCTTATAAAAGTTACATTTTTGGAATAAGTTTTGAAATAACCGATCGTTTTGCATAATACGACCCTTATTCATCGTCTGGTGTCGTTTAAAGACATTTGAAGCTGCATCTGAAACAGTTATTAACCGTCTTTTGATACTTGAACCATCCGGTTCCCATTGAAGTCCATTATATGGAGAAAAATCCTGGAATGTTTTCATCAAAAACCTAAATTTCTTTTCGACTGAGGAAAGAAAGACATGGACATCTTGGATGACATGGGGGTGAGTAAATTATCAGCAAAAGTTTTTTTCAAAAGTGAACTAATCCTTTAAATAAGTAACCTGACTCGAGGCAGAGGGAGAAATAAAGGAATAGTTGAAATAAAGTTGTTATTTTTGTTGTTTTTGCGCACAAAAAGTGTTCTCGTCGTTTGATAAACTTAAGATTGAGCCCCTGTAGTCACTTGGACTATTTTAACGATGTCCTTTAATGACTTTTCGATGCCAGTAAGAGTCATTCCCTCAAGAAGCCTATGGACTAGTATACAGGAGCGATCTTAATATCTTAAATATCTTAATTTGTGTTCCGAAGATGAACAACATGAGGGTGAGTAAAAACTGACAGAATTTTCATTTTTGGGTGAACTAACCCTTTAAGGCTAGTCCCGGACTATGTCAGTGTCATTGTTTTGCCTCATGATGCTCTCCAGTAACGTTTTTTTTTCCTTCCTAATACACGTTTATAAAAGCTACTTAAAGGTCTTTATTTAAAGGAGTAGTTCACTTTTAAAAAAAACTTTTGCTGATAATTTACTCACCCCCATGTCATCCAAGAGGTCCATGTCATTCTTTCATCAGTCGAAAAGAAATTAAGGTTTTTGATGAAAACATTCCAGGATTTTTCTCCATATAATGTACTTCAATGGGAACCAAATGGTTCAAGTTCCAAAGACAGTTTCAGTGCAAACTGTTCAAAGGGCTTTAAACGATTTCAGACGATGAATAAGGGTCTTATCTTATCAAGCGAAACGATCGCTAATTTAAAAAAAAAAATAACAAAGTTTAAGTTTTATAAACTCAAATGGTCGCCTTTCTCTGTTAGGGTTAGGGTGTGATGCATGACTCTCCTATTCGAACTCGTTCATTAAAATGAACGAATCCTTTCCCGATTCAACACGTTCATTTCATTTATTGAATGAACCAAATGACATGAAAAAAGATTTGTATGTTTTGATAAACGATTTCGAACAGGAGAGTCACAAATGCGCATCACAGAACAGAGCAAGGCGACCGTTTTAGCTTATAAAACTTAAACTCTATTTTTTTTTTTAATTGAGCAATCGTTTCGCTTGATAAGACCCTTATTCATCGTCTGGAATCGTTTAAAGCCCTTTGAACGTCTTTTGGACCTTTGGAGTCCATTATATGGAGAAAAGTCCTGGAATGTTTTCATCAAAAACCTTAATTTCTTTTCGACTGAAAAAAAAATGACATGGATATCTTGGATGACATTGGGGTGAGTAAATTATCAGCAAAAGTTTTTTTTTTTTTTTTTAAAGTGAACTACTCCTTTAACTAAAGCCTAATCCTGGCTTAGACTAAACCTTGTCTGTGGAACCAGACCTAAATGTTTAACAACGCAATGCTTAGGTTTGGTCATATGTCCTGGTGTGTATGTATCCGGAAGCATTGCTTGCTTGCAGCTTTTTTCGTCACGCTGTTTTATTATGTTGTAATGGATGCCTAAAAGCAACACGTTTTGTGTTTGGTCATCAGATGTCAATCAGATGGTCTCTTCCTGTCAAAATGGACCAGACGTTATGCAAATAGTTAAAAGTCTGACTCTGTGAGACCAATGTGTCCCATGTCTCCTCTGAAGGTAATTTGAGTGATTGGATCACAGTTAGTCTCCAAAGCGAATTGGATCCCGTGTACTTCATTTAGTCCTAGACGAATATTAATAACAGGTAGGATTGTAGTCAGCATCTATAGATGGACTTTTTTGTCCCCGATATTATTTCCTCTGCATCAGATGCAGAAGTGAGTAGGACCCTAAACTTTTCTTGACTTCATCAGAGCATGCCCCACTTGTGGTTGGCCTCTCCACTCTTGGCTCATTACTCTTCCTTTCCTTCACTCCTCCTCCTCCCTTCCTCCTGCATGTCTCCACATGGCCTCCGGCCGTTCCAGGCATGGCTTCCATTTTGATGTCTGCCGCAGGACTGGGAGTTCGCTTCATGACCGCCCCCTTCTCCCATCGTGGCTCCAGCAGGCCCACCAAAGGCCAGGCCAGCTCCGTTAAGAGGGCAAAGAGACAGTCCAGGACAGGTAGTTAAGCACCGTCAACCAGCCCGACCGAACCTGCCCTCCACTGGCCTGCAAACTTCTGCTGTCCTTTTTGTTTAATTGCTCTTTTCCTTACCATTCTCCTTTCAAAATTATATTTTCCCCAGGGGGTTAGCACTGTAGCTTCATTCCGACATGCTCCGTCTAGCCATTGCGGGATGTTTATGTTTTGCTGTTTATCGTTTGCTTCTGCCGTCACGTTTTCACCCATTTCTTGTTTATGCTGTCACGCTGTCTTGCTTCCATCCTCTCGATCACATAATGAATGTACTATTGATGGTATTCAGCTTGACACCTGCCTGCTCACCCGTGGGACACTGCAGACAGATGTCTGCTGGGGGGGTTTATCGAATAACAAGTTGTTCCCTGGTCTTTTTTTCACTTTCTCTAACCCTAAATAACCTGTGTTGTGGTTAATGCTTTTCATACAGAAGATGATATTAGGTTCAGACTGACACTCACAAGCGCTGTTAGTTTACTGCTTTAATATCAGCTTACTAAAACATCCTAAACACATTTTCCGTATTGAACTATTTAAGTGTTGTCTGAAAACTCTAAAAACTAACACTAAGGTTTTATAATCTGGACATTGTGTGCTTTTATATGGTATGTTAAATGCTGAATAAGTATCAAACATTGATTTATTAAAAGAGGCCATATTTAAAGGGACACTCCACTTTTTTTTTTTTTTTTTTTTTGGAAACAGGCTCATTTTACCACTCCCCCAGAGTTAAATCGTTGAGTTTTGCCGTTTTCGAATTCATTCAGCCGATTTTCTGAAAGTCAATGAGACCAGAAACTGTCTGGTTACAGATATTCTTCTAAATATCAGAAAATCGGCTGAATGAATTCGAAAACGGTAAAACTCGTGGGGATTTGTAAAAAGTCTTTTTCCAAAAAAAAGTGGAGTATCTCTTTAACGAACAGTTCTGGCTCTAAATTCTGATTGGATGAGCGACTTTCAAAGCCTTTGTTAGATGGCTGATGCACGATCATATTAATTGAATTCTATATACGTTACTAGACTAATAAACTATCATTTTATTATTATTATTACATTTAATTATAAAATGGAACAAAAGTATTTTCATTAGAACAATACGCTGTTGAGACTTAAAATATAAGAATATTCGAAAATAACTATTTAGCAAATTTATTTAGCTAAGATCTGTACATTTTATTTGATAAATTGTAAATCTCACGCTGCAAGATTTTACCGTAATAAGGGGGTTTTAGGTACGGAGCCCCAAAAGGGACATGGTGATTGGAGGAAAGTTATATTTCAAAGCTTTTGCGTTCTTTCAATCGTTTTGCATTCTGTCGCAAAATTGGTCATGGATATATGATGAGGTGGGAGGAAAAACTATATTTTAATGCCTTTAAGAGAGAATGCAAAGTTTCTCAGGGAAACGCAGAACTTTTGCGACAGAATCTAAAGTTTCTCAACATGATGTTTCCATCAACATGTCCCCTTAGAGACTCCGTATTTAGGCACATATGCTGCACACTTCTGTTTACAATAGTAAATTGCGAAAATTGCCTTGATATAATATTAAAACGAACTGACGTTATTCACATGCAAAGCAAAACCGACTTACTCTGTAACCAAAAAATGTTAATAGTTAAATGTGTACATGAGCTTATATGTGTCTGCATATAATCAGTGTGTGATGATGCATAACAATGCACTCATTAAAACAAACTGTGACTCAGGAGGTCAAGAGCAAGTATTAATGCATTAGGTATTTGGTTGTGGCTTGGTAATACAAGGATACTAATGCCTTAGCATCTCTAACTGCTTCTCAGAAAAAACAATTTCCGTAATGTATTTGTTCATTTAGAAACCATAACAAACGTAGCATTCTACTTCTGCCAGGTTCGCTGCATTTATGATGTAATAGGAATTTATATAAAAAATAATCATAATTTAACTGTCTACAGAAATTCACAATATATATATATATATATATATATATATATATATATATATATATATTTAAATTAAGTCTCTTCTGCTCACCAAGGCTGCTTTATTTGATGAAAAAAAAAAATGACAAACAGTAATATTGTGAAATATTATGACAATTTAAAATGACTGTTTTCTATTGTAATATATTTTAAAATGTAATTTGAAAGCGGAATTTTCAACATCATTGCTGTTGCTGATTACACATCAGTTTTCAGTGTCACATGATCCTTCAGAAATCATTCTAACATGCTGATTTTATTCTCAAAAAACATAAATTATTATTTTCAATGTTGAAAACAGTCGTGTACCATTTTCCCCCAAAATTCTATGATGAATAGAAAGTTCAAAAGAGCAGCATTTATTTAAAATATAATCTTTTTCTAACATTATAAATGTCTTTACTGTAACTTTTGATCAATTTAACTCATCCTTGATGAATAAAAGTATTTTCTAATTTCTTTCCCCAAACTTTTGAATGGTAGTGATTAATGTTACAAAAGCTTTCCATTTCAGATCAATTCTGTTCTTTGGAACTTTCTATTCATCAAAGAATCCTGAAATAAAAATGTAAAAAACTGTTTTTAACATGGATAATAATCATAAATGTTTCTTGAGCATCATATTATAATAATTTCTGTAGGATCATGTGACACTGAAGACTGGAGTAATGAAGCTGAAAATTCAGCTTTGATCACAGGAATAAATTACACTTTACTATATATTCACATTGAAAACCGTTGTTTTAAATTGTAATAATATTTCACAATATTACTTTTTTTTTTACTATATTTTTTTATCAAATAATTGCAGCCTTGGTGAGCAGAAGAGACTTCTTTTAAAAACATGAAAAATCTTACCGATCTAAAACTTTTGACTGGTAGTGTATATATATATATATATATATATATATATATATATATATATACATACATACATATATGAAGAGTTCAGATGCAAAAGCCTCTAAGTGCCATTTGAAATTTTCTTCTAGAATGATCATTTTTATCAAGCTTGTATATTTAAGTTCAGTGATTTCACTTAAATGGCAATGATAATTACCTATTAATTGTTATTTAAGTGAAATTACTGAAATTAAATATACAAGTTTGATAAAAATCATCATTAAAGAAGAAAATGTCAAATGGCATTTAGAGGCTTTTGCATCTGAACTCTTCATATATATATATATGCATATGCTGACTTCAGAGACAGGTTCATTATAGAGAGCATTTGATTGGCCAAAAATGTATGTAGTACATGAATAATTTACAATTGATTAGTTGAACAGACAGACAAGGATTACAAGCCACAAAACTCTTTCATTCTCTTTCAAAAAGCTTTCATTGACTCTAAGAAAATGTAATCTTCATGTCGTCATATATTTTAAAATGTGTTTTGTGTATGTCCTTAGCTCCGGCTCAGAAACCAGAGGAAGTCATCAAGAAATACATGGAGGAAGTGCCTGTGGTTCCAGATGAGGTATATTTTTATGTACTTGCATAAATCTGTACATTTTTCTCACCCCGGAGTTAAAAGAATATTATATTTTAGTAAATATATTAGTTAAAGATAATGAAGACTATTTTATGACCATTTTTACATATTTTCATAACAATTAAGCACCTTTATGTAACAATGCGAAAAACTGTAATGGTCCTAAAATAGATTTGAATTTCTGTATACAAAATATAACATGACCTGGACACATTTTGATGACATTCACCCATATGTTTAATGCCCTGCCCTATGAGATGTGTGACATCTGGCTGTGTGCTTTCAGGACTGTATTATCTGTATGGAGCGCCTGGCCTGCCCGTCTGGTTATGAGGTCCCAGCTGAGTGCTCTCAGACTCTTCAGCCCAACACTGTGGGCAAATTCACTAAATGTGGACACACCTTCCACATGCCCTGCATGCTGGCCATGTACAACAATGGAACCAAGGTGTGCAATATCTTATCAACACTTTTAACTGTCAATTGTATACAACTATTTAATATGTATTTTAGGGTAATTACAAGAATGGATGACATGAATTGCAATACACCCAAAAACGTGGGTTTGAAAAAAAAATATTTTCAGAATTTTAATTTTTTGGGTGAAGTATTAATTTAACAGCATTCTATTCTACACTACCATTCGAATGTTTGGTGGTTCCAATGCCAAGTGTTTTTTTTTTATTATTATTTATAAAGATGTCTCTTTTTCTCACCAAGGTTGCCCTTGTTTGATCATAATAATACAGTAAAGATAGCAACATTGTTTTCTATGTTAATATATTTTAAAATGTAATTTATTCCTGTGATGGCAAAGCTGAGTTTTCAGGATCATCAGTCTTCCGTGTTGTATGATCCTTCAGAAATCATTCTAATATGCTGATTTCTTATTATTATCAATGTTGAACACACTTTTGCTGCTTAATATTTTAATGGAAAACATGATAATTTGTTTCCAAATTCTTTAATAAAATAAAAAGCTCAAAAGAACAGCATTGATTTGAAAGAAGTAACATTTATAAATGCCTTTACTGTCACTAATGATCAATTCATCTGGAATAAAAGTATTATTTCTTCAAAAAATAAATAAATAAATAAATACTGACCCCAAAATGTTCAATGGTAGTGTACGTCATGCATTCCTGGAATTACTCTGAGATGACAAAATAGGTGCATGAAATTAAAAGAATTGATTTTTTAGCTCAAAATACTTATTTTCACATTAAAAAGATTGTTGCACCCATTTTCTCTCTCGTTGTCACACCATAGGACGGGAGCCTGCAGTGCCCCTCATGTAAGACAATTTATGGAGAGAAGACCGGCACCCAACCAAAGGGCAACATGGATATCTATAGTATTCCTCAGTCTTTGCCTGGACACCCAGACTGCGGCACTATACAAATCATTTACAACATCCCGCCCGGAATACAGGTCTGTTTTGGCAAACCAATGTAGTTCTGTACTGTTTTATATGTATTTGCTCCATGATTCCCCAATAAGAAAAGTGCTTTCAACTTTTAGAATAAGTGCTTGAGGTCCTTAAGAACCAGCCAAATGTTTTCATCCAGCAGACTGACGTCGGCCTCCATCTGCATTTATTGGGGGCATAAGTTAACTGACTCTGTGTGCTGATGGTTTTGTCCTTGCCTTGGCCTGCACCAAGCACTCATTATCCTAATGCACTCTTTGTCTGCAGGGCCCTGAGCACCCAAACCCAGGACAGCCGTATACGTGCAGAGGATTCCCGCGCTTCTGTTTCCTTCCTGACAATGACAAAGGCAGAAAGGTAAGAGAGTGAATTGACCCAGTTCAAATAAAGATTCATGCCATTGTCATTTGTCACAATATGAAATCATTTGCCACTTTCACACATTAAACCTGTTTAAGTACCGTTCAGTTGATGAATCATCCATTCCAGCGCCGTGTGTTACACAAGGTGGAGTTTCAGTTCCTTGCCACTGTTGCCTTTTTTCACCTTTGTTGCCATTGGCTTTTGGCTTGCTTACTTGGGGACGTTAAATTTAACATTTAATTTAATTTTCAACAATAATTTTGATCTGCTTGCATTGACACCATTATATGAGTTGGATGATGACATCACGGTTTTCTCCAGAGCGGCTATATATGAAGAGTTCAGATGCAAAAGCCTCTAAGTGCCATTTGAAATTTTTATCAAGCTTGTATATTTAAGTTCAGTGATTTCACTTAAATGGCAATGATAATTACCTATTAATTGTTATTTAAGTGAAATTACTGAACTTAAATATACAAGTTTGATAAAAATCATCATTAAAGAAGAAAATTTCAAATGGCATTTAGAGGGTTTTGCATCTGAACTCTTCATATATATATATATATATATATATATAAATAAACTAAACATCACTGTTCATCAACTTATTCGAGCTAGACTGATGCTATTTTCTTCTGGAAACAAAATTTATTTTCCTGTTATCTCTGTAAAGCTGCTTTGAAACAATCTGTATTGTAAAAAGCACTATATAAATAAATATGACTTGACAAGCAATGGTTTTCCCTACTACCATTCACACACATGCACCACAATGCTATTAATTAAAACCTCGTTGTCTCAAAAAAAAGGTGCGTTCACTGTAAATGGTCAAGTGTTGCAGGAAGCAACACTCACTTAGAAAGTCACTTTCAAACCAATCATCTTTCTGTTGGTCAGTGCTGTAAAAAAAAGAAATTATAAAATTGCACAGGGAAATGTTTCATACGTACACAGCAGAAAGAAAGAAATGCCAGAGAAATGTCCTATTTTTTAAAAGAAAAAATATTTTTAAACAAGTTTGAGTTTTCCTACATCTTGAAACTTTCTTTACTGGATCTCTTAGCGCTGTGTGGTAACAGTGTCGCTTGATCGAGATCGGCTCGCGCTGCACAGATGTTGCTGGTCCGAAATGATAAACGGTCCGTGAAGCACATAACGAGTAGCGCAGTTTCGTTCCACTTTCATTATGCTTGCCATTTGATATTGTGCAACGTTTTGGTGGCCGCACCAGAGCGAATTTTGTCGGCAGGAAAAATGGTCCAAGGAATCGCTCGGTTTGTATGTGTACCGAACTGGAGGCCTCCAACCGAGACGGTTCAATACGAATACATTTACCGTTACACCACTAATATATACAGCTAATAACACCACTAATATGTATATGTATTTTTAAAAGAAGTCTCTTCTGCTCACCAAGGCTGCAATTATTTGATAAAAAATACAAAAAAAAAACAGTAATATTGTAAAATATTATTACAATTTAAAACAGCGGTTTTCAATGTGAATATAATTTATTCCTGTGATCAAAGCTGAATTTACAGCATCATTACTCCAGTCTTCAGTGTCACATGATCCTACAGAAATTATTATAATATGATGCTCAAAAAACATTTATGATTATTATCCATGTTGAAAACAGTTTTTTACATTTTTATTTCAGGATTCTTTGATGAATAGAAAGTTCAAAAGAACAGAATTGATCTGAAATGGAAAGCTTTTGTAACATTAATCACTACCATTCAAAAGTTCGGGGTCAGTAAGAATTTTATGTTTTTATTTTTGGGGGAAAGAAATTAGAAAATACTTTTATTCATCAAGGATGAGTTCAATTGATCAAAAGTTACAGTAAAGACATTTATAATGTTATAAAAAGATTATATTTTAAATAAATGCTGTTCTTTTGAACTTTCTATTCATCATTTTGGGGGAAAAATTGCTACACGACTGTTTTCAACATTGAAAATAATAATTTATTTTTTTTTTTTTTAGCATAAAATCAGCATATTAGAATGATTTCTGAAGGATCATGTGACACTGAAAACTGATGTGTAATCAGCAACAGTAATGATGTTGTAAATTCAGCTTTGATCACAGGAATAAATTACACTTCACTATATGTTCACATAGAAAACCGCTGTTTAAAATTGTAATAATATTTCACAATATACTGTTTTTTGTTGTTTGCAGCCTTGGTGAGCAGAAGAGACTTTTTTTAAAAACTTAAAAAATCTTACCGATCTAAAACTTTTGACCGGTAGTGTATATATATATATATATATGTATATATTAAGGGTGTCAATATTTCGATTTGAAATCGACCGAAATTAAGTCACAATTTCACACTTCGAATTAAAAAATTTAATTATCGATGCTACTACGCCCCATCCTGTCGGCGTGCCAAGCAGAAAAAGTACTGCGAGTCTATGTTCAACCTCCTCTAACTTCGCTACAGCCATTCAAAAGATAACATGGCAACTGCAGATACAGGAGACCCATCAACAGAACTTGATATACCTCCTCCTCTTTCATTTCTTTTTATTGGATCTTCCAAAGTGTGTATGTAAAGTTTTAGCTGAAAATACCCCGAATGTATTAATACATAGCATGTTAAAGTTGTCACTTGTTCCGTGATAGCATTTGTAACTCTCTTGGCCAGACGCATTATCTTACCTGTATTTAAACATTGGATTAATGATGTTATGCACTATTTAACACTTGAGCAAATTCGCTATAATTTGCAGGGTAATAACATTAAATTCAGTAATATCTGGCAACCTGTTCTTACATTAATCGAACAAATGGACTCTAATGACATTGTATGATGTTGTTTTTTTGTTTTTTTTTGTTTTGTTTTTTTGCTATCATACCTGTAGTGTGATGTGGGTGGGTGGGTTCTTGGTTGTTAAGTTGTTGTTTGTTGTATGTTAAAATACAATAAAAAGACTTTGATCAAAAAAAAAAAGTTGTCACTTGTTAAGGGTGAGCAAACACACACCCTTTGTCTGTCCCTTTAAATGCAAATCAGAGCACTCAATGCTCTGGTTTGCGTTTCTCTCTGTGAGAAAACCAGCAACTGTGTTTCCTGTAAATCTGAGGGTCTTGATGATGTGGTTTTCAGGTGCTGGAGCTGCTGAAGGTGGCGTGGACACGACGCCTCATCTTCACCGTGGGCACTTCCAGCACCACAGGGGAGCCTGACACCGTCATCTGGAACGAGATCCACCACAAGACGGAGATGATGTCCAACGTCTCCGGCCACGGCTACCCCGACCCCAACTACCTGGACAATGTGCTCTCAGAACTGGCTTCACAGGGCGTGACGGAGGACTGCCTGAAACGAGACGCTCAGAGCCAAGGGGCTCATAGTTCAGGCATGTGAAACTGACCATTCCATCCGCTGTAGATCTAACAAAGCTTGACGAAAAGGGAAAACTAGAGTTATGATGTTTTGGCGAGAGGTTCGGATGAAAGGGCAAGGGTCGGCGGCAACTTCCTTCATCTGGCTGAGTCTAGAATATTAGATGGGGTCCCTGGCTTCGTGGTCATCTGTACTTTCACCGTATTGTAAGGCAGCTATAGATGGTTCTGCACGAATGGCTCCGTCTTAGATTGACCCCTGAATCTCGAGCCAAGAGGAGACTCGCTCTCTGACGCCTCATTCATCTCAAAATATGATTCATCATAGGGCCGTGATGTCCTTCATGACGCACTGCATTACAGTAGAACACAATGATGCTCATTCTATTGCTGGGAATCGATACACTATTAATTTAAAAGCATCAATGAAAACAAAGATTTGCACATCAATGCAAATCATGTCTTCACTGGTACTGTAAAATGTACTGCTTCAGAAATTCAAGGAACTTTTTTTTCACAATTTGCAGCTATGAGGTTTTTAATCTGACAGATTTGATGATGGCATTCACTTGCTGCTATTTTTTTTTATTTATTTTTTTTTTTGATCATAAGGGTTTTAATTTTTGTCAAGGTTCCTATGGAAGCTTATTTCCACAACAGAATTTTTTAAAAAATTCTCACAATTATAAAAAAAAAAATTCTCACACACAAAAAATACAAACTTGCAAATGCACGTTATAAAGCCAGAATTACGAGTTAAAAAAAAAAATAACTTTTTTTCTCGCAATTGCGAGTTTATATCACAGAATTCTGAGTGGGAAAAAGTCAAATTCGAGCTGTAAACTAGCAATTGTGAGTAAAAAAGTCAGAATTGTGAGATTAAAGGGATAGTTCATTTTGAAATAAATTTTTGATATGTTTTAGCTTACCTCAAGGGCATCCAAGATAGGTAGATAGTAGGTGCCTTTGTTTCCACAGTATTTTCAATTTTTATATTTTTAGGTCAAACCGTTCTTGTCTGTCATTCATATAATGCAGGTCTATGGTCACCACCTCAAAGAGCACGTGCAGAGAAGTCCAAATTAAACATGATTTAATGACTCATGAATGTAAGTACACGTTGATGGCCTAAGACACGAAACGAGCGGTTTGTGTGAGAAAACCTGTTTGTGTGAGATCACTTGGACCTGGCTGTGGTTACAAGAGGTAAAAACGATATAAATACTGTTCGTTTTCTCACACAAACCGCTCGTTTCGTGTCTTAGGCCATCAATGTGTCCTTACATTTACGAGTCATTAAATCATGTTTAATTTGGACTTCTCTGTGCGTGCTCTTTGAGGTGGTGACCATAGACCTCCATTATATGAATGACAGACAAGAACGGTTTGACCTAAAAATATCAAAATTGAAAATACTGCGGAAACAAAGACACCTACATCTTGAATGCCCTTTAGGTAAGCTAAAACATATCAAAAATTAATTTCAAATTGAACTATCCCTTTAAAGCTACCGATTTACCTTTTATTATTCAGTTGTGGAATTAAGCATCTATAGGTTTCTATTGCAATGAACCATTTTTATTCTTTAGACTATACATACATTTTAGCTATTTAAAAATGCAAGACTTTTAAAAGCTCAGCAACACTCTGTAATGCTTTTTAAAAAAATGTCATTGCTTATTTAATTCTAGTCCAGATCCTGAGAATAGGTGTAGAAATGCAATCTCACATTATTATTATTGGGTTGCAGTATTAGATGGTGCCACAGAGACAATCAGCAGTGTTTGATTAAGTTACAGTTCATTACCACTGCAAGTCTGTAGACATTCATTCATCTTCTCTTACTTCACAGAATGGGATTTTTGGTTTTACAATGTATGCAAGTGTATATATAAATATATATTCAACTTCTAATCAGCAATAAACTACTCCATATAACAATACTTTTTGGTTTCTGTTACTTGTTAATGAGAACTCTGCTGTAAAACACTTAATACATTTAGAGTGTTATAAAATATTTCTATTTTGAATAAATGCTGCTCTTCCAAACTTTCTATTCATCAGAGAATCCTGAAAATAAATATATAATGCTTTCTACAAAAATATTAAGCCGCACAACTGTTTTACAGCGTTCATATTAAAGGGATAGTTCACTTTGAAATAAATTTTTGATATGTTTTTGCTTACCTCAAGGGCATCCAAGATGTATGTGTCTTTGTTTCCATAGTATTTTCAATTTTGATATTTGTAGGTCAAACCGTTCTTGTCTGTCATTCATATAATGCAGGTCTATGGTCACCACCTCAAAGAGCATGCACAGAGAAGTCAAAATTAAACATGATTTAATGACTCGTAAATGTAAGTACACATTGATGGCCTAAGACACGAAATGAGCGGTTTGTGTGAGTAAACAAACAGTATTTATATATTGTATTTCTCTCTGCACATGCGCCGGAAGTGATCTCTCATGCATGTACATCACTCATTGAGTTTACACAGAGATTTCGGATTTTATAAACATATTTAGATATACAGGAAATCGCAATTGAAGACGATTTTGATATTTAGATCTTCACAGTGAAAGGTAAAACTTCCGAAATCTCTGTGTAAACACAACGAGTGACGTATACGCGGCGCGCGAGAGAGATCACTTCCGGCGCATGCGCAGAGAGAAGCGCCCGTGCCTTCAGATCACTAAATACTGTTCGTTTTCTCACACAAACCACTCGTTTCGTGTCTTAGGCCATCAATGTGTACTTACATTTACGAGTCATTAAATCATGTTTAATTTGGACTTCTCTTTGAGGTGGTGACCATAGACCTGCATTATATGACTGACAGACAAGAACGGTTTAACTAAAACTATCAAAATTGAAAATACTGCCGAAACAAAGACACCTACATCTTGGATGCCCTTGAGGTAAGATAAAACACATCAAAAATTAATTTCAAAGTGAACTGTCCCTTTAAGAAAGGTTTCTCAATAAGAAAATCAGCTTGTAAGAATGATTTCTGAAGGATCATGTGACACTGAAGACTGGAGTAATGATGCTGAAAATTCAGCTTTGCATCACTGGAATAAATTACATTTGAAAAAAAAAATATATGGTAACACTTTACAATAAGGTTCATTAGTCAACAGTAAATGTATTATTATTTAACATGAACTAACAATGAGCTATGCATTTGTCAGTATTTATTAATCTTTGTTTATGTTAGTTAATAATCCAGCTATTCATTTTTTCTTCATGTTAGTTCAGTGCATTATCTAATATTAAAAAAATACAACCTTTGTTTTTGATAATGTGTTAAGTGTTGAAATGTTAACTAAGATTAATTAATGCTGTATAAAGTATTGTTCATAGTTCAAGTAGTTAACCAATAAGGCGTATTGTAATTGTAACTGTTATTTTTAACCTGTTAATATATTTAATTATATTATTATTATGCAATATTACTATCATCACAATATTTTCACTGTATTTTTGACTAAATAAAAGCAGCCTTGGTGACTTCTTTCAAATATATATATTTTTTACTCCCACTTTTGAACTGTAGTGTATATACACACATAAAATATACCTTTCTCATGAAGATTTGGGGAAGAAACGTGACCTTGACAAACAGTCAAGCTTTCACCATATTATCTCCTATTTGTACCTGATTTTAGCTGAACGTGAACGAATCCTCCCAGCCGGAGTCTATCGTTCAGTCAGTAGAGGGCAGTGTTGCTCCATGTGATCTGCAGGACATCCGCATCCCAGAGCTGCTGTTCTTCTGCTTCATGAAGACAAATGCTTTTCACCTGTAGAGTGAGGTTCTGTTCTTCCCTCATGAAATTAAAGCTGAAAACTGTCACAATCGTGTTGGTTGCTCAGCGGATCAGATGTGGTCTGTTTAGAATCATTTACCATGTTTCTTATTTTCTCTGCTTTTGAATAGCGGATATGCGCCCACAGCAGCTGCAAACTTGCCGAGGGTTTCATTTGACTGCGTAAATGCTCAAAATGAACTGACTTTGAGAAAACGCGCGTGATAAATAAGAGGCCTTTGATTGTAGGTAAGAATACTCTATCGCTGGTAAGTGGTAAGGCTGTTAGAAGATGCTTAATGCAAATGTGAAGATCAAACAAAATGATAACACACTTGTTCTCCGCTGTGTTGATTCAGATCAATGCAACTCCTTTGAAAAATTGTCCTTGTTACTACTGGGCCACAATAACCACAGATACTGCGACGTTTATAGCAATTATATGTCATTATTACTCACCATCAAGTTGTTCCAAACCTGTATGAATTTATTTCTTCTGCTGAACAAAGAACACAAAAGAAGATATTTTGAAGAATGTCGATAACCAAACAGTTGATGGACCCCATTGACTTCAGTGGGGTCCATCAACTGTTTGGTTACCCATAGTCTTCAAAATACCTTCTTTTGTGTTCAGCAGAAGAAAGAAATTCATACAGGTTTGGAACAACTTTTTGGGAATATTTCCATGTTAGTGATATGAAGATATGAAGAACTGTTTGTGTCCATATAATGAAAGTCAATAGGGTCCAAAAACAGAGTAGTTCACTTATAAAAAAAAACTTTGCTGATAATTTACTCACCCCCATGTCATCCAAGATGTCCATGTCTTTCTTTCTTCAGTAGAAAAGAAATTAAGGTTTTTGATGAAATCATTCTCCATATAATGGACTTCAATGGGAACCAAACGGTTCAAGGTCCAAATGAGAGTTTCAGTGCAAGGGCTTTAAACAACACAAGATGATGAATAAGGGTCTTATCTAGGATTTGTTCATTTTGATGAACGAGTTTGAACAGGAGAGTCACGTACGCTCATCACAGAAGAGAGCAAGGCGAGCATTTGTGCCAACGCATTCTCACCCCAAGGCGTCACCTTTGACCATGCTTCAATATTTGACGTTTTAGGCGCCCTTTAGCGTCACTTACATGACGCGATCCTACGGCGTCATCTAACTGACGCTAAAGGAAAGCGTCAGTTAGAGGACGCGGTTAGGTTTAGGTGTGGGGTGGGGGTAGGGTACACGCGATCCTAGGGCGTCATCTAACTGACGCTAAAGGGCGCCTAAAGCGTCAGATATTGAAGCATGTCCAAATGCTTGTCAGTTAAGTGACGCCTTGGGGGTGAGAATGGGCTGCAACGTGCTTATAAAACTTAAACTTTTTAATTTATTTTTGAAATGACCGATTGTTTCGCTAGATAAGACCCTTATTCATCGTCTGGTGTCGTTTAAAGCCCTTCAAAGCTGCAATGAAATTCTCATTTGGACCTTGAACCGTTTGGTTCCCATTGAAGTTCATTATATGGAGAAAATCCTGGAATGTTTTCATCAAAAACCTTAATTTCTTTTGACTGAAGAAAGACAGACATGGACATCTT